GGCATATACACACACACACACACACACACACATATATATATATATATATATATATATATATATATATATATATACACACACGCATACATATACATACACAGATGACCACGGACAGGAACTCGCACATTTTTAAACATCTTAATAGCTCATCCCAATGTAAAACCTCATGCAACGAGGATTGTTTCCGTGTATTGTGTTCTGCCTCAACAGCTAACCAAAGAAAAATAAAGGAGGCCTTACATATAAAATGGGACACGCCCTCTCTCAACAAGAACTTTCACATGTTAATTTAATTTCGTCATTCTGGTGTTCATCACTACGTTATCTTTATTCATGCCATTCTTTCTTCTTTACAATTACAGTCAAATTGTTACCTTAAAAATGCAATGTCATGATGTCTGTTCAAATAGCTATGGTTCAATTTCCATTTATTTATTAAAATACAATGCTTCACAGTTGTTCACTCCCTTTATATAGTAGATTGCATGTTAACAATCTTTACACTGAAGATGGCGAAGGATTTGCCGAAACATGTTTGTTTTGTACCGAGTTTTTTTTAAATAAAATTCATTAGGCCTTGCCTATATGGTATTGAGTTTGAAAATTATTGTGGTATTCTTAAGATGTATTTGCTGTCTGCTACTACACAGAACATACACAGATATATACAAATGATAAATTAACCTATATAGCTATCCAAATAATATTTTTTTATGCGTTTCTAAAAGTAATTAAGTTTTTACAATGAATAATTTTATCATTCATGTCATTCAATTAAGGCAGGTCCAAACACTGTAATAAAAAATTGACTACTTCTCAATCTGACAAACGGAATGTATAAATCATTGGCCTTCTTTAAATTATAGTTATGCCCACTCTTTCGATGATGGAAAATATTTACAATAGAAAGTGGGAGTTGACCATTTGTATATTGAAACATAAAAGCGGCTACTTGGATTTTATGGATATCTGTGATCTTTAAAATACTTAGTTTCTTAAACAAAGGTTCAGAATGAGATGACAAGGATGCCAAGCAAATAAATCTAACAGCCCTTTTTGTAGCTTAATTAATCTATTTAAATTTGAAAAGTAATCACTGGCCCATATCAAATTACAATATTGTAAATAAGGAAGAACAAGGAAAATATATACGTAATTAATTACACCAATCGATTTTGATACCTTATTTGATATATATATTTCTGATTGAGTTTTCCAATATAAATATTCATTAATGATTACTCCCAAAAATAAAGTTTCAGATTTACGTTCAATATTATTTCCATTTAAAGAAATATCAAAATTGGAAAGATTCAGTTTTTTGTTTTTTTTTTGCCGTGGATGAAACAAAATATAATTGGTCTTTTGAGTATTAATCAGAAGTTTATTTGCAGGGAACCAATTTTTTCTAATTCTTCATTAACGGTATTGAACAAAATATCAAGATTGTGATTTGAATAAAACAAAGCATTGACACAACCTGCATGGGTGTCACTAACCCGAGTTAAATCATTTATGTATGTTATTAAGAGTAATGGTCCAAATTGTTTATTTTTTTAAACTATTCAAAAGCAACACCTCTAACACCATAACAGAAAAGTTTGAAAAATAATATATCATGATTAACAACATGAAATACCTTTGATTACTCAAGAAATAAACTTAACAAATATTCTTTATTTTCAAATGAGACATTAATACTATTTACAAGTTCAAGAATTGCAAGGCATGTTGAGTGATTTTTAAAAGATCACCTAATTTTTGGCCAAAGTGGCAAAAAATTATTTACAAAGGCATTTTGAGTAGAAACTATCTAAGAGGGTTTCAAGAGCCACCAAAAAAAGTTGGAACAATTTTTCCCATGGGAAAAAGCGTTATGACCTTTTACATAAAGGTCAATCTATTTTTAGTAACAAACACTGAAACAGTAGGGGTAGTCGGTTCTATCCCACATACGACCCAAAAAACAATTGCGAGAAAACTTTTTTTTCGGGTGTTTTCTGTAGCATAAGGTCTAGAAAAGATGAATATGTATATTTTAGCCAAAAATTGCACAAGCATCAAGTGAAACAAAATATAATTGGTCTTTTGAGTATAATTGAACAAAATACATTAATACTATTTACAAGTTCAAGAATTGCAAGGCAAAGGCAAAGCGTTAT